TGTCTCTATAAAACCCCTCCTTCACTACAGGGGTTCTATCTTTTATGTTTCTTTTTATAGTCAGTAACCCCTTCTTTGTATTTACATTTTTTGAAAACGATTCTTAAGGGTTTATTCAAACAGTATAATGTGTGGCACTATAACCCTTCAATTGGACTCCGTTAAATCTAATTCCCAAGTGTTGTATAGGCTGTTCAAATTAAGATATTTCAAGTCGTTTTTAGAATCATTTAAGGAAAATAATTCAAAAGTTCTTGACACAATTGATTTCAAATCATTCTTCCAGTGTAATTGTAACCCTGTTCTTTCTGCAGTGAAGATTATCGAACAAAACCGACCCTATGTAATAAAGTACGGAGTTGACGTCTGTTTGTTTGCAGGGGAGATGGAATTTCTCTTAGAGGGTGCTCACAGCTCATGCCGCTCTTATACACTTCGCGATCGTGTCTTGTCTTCTTTGCTTTACACACCTTATCGCTATTGTTACAAATTGGATTACACAACCGTTAATTGAAACAACCTTAGATACACTAATATGAAGAAGACCTTTTATTACAATGGTAAAATGTAAACAGTTTTAGATGAAAATTACTTCAAATAAAACTCCAGAGTTAACTGTTTTTAAAATCGTTTTCTTTCTTGGATTCGTGGATTCGTCAACATTTTTATACACCATGAGAGTTATGTGAGAGTTATTTAGTTTTATTTTTCGCCGTGTTGCAGAGTTTGATCAAGTTGCGCGTACTCATGTTTGTGTCGATGTTTTGTTTATGTTGATGCAATGCTGCAACGGAACGAGTGAGCATTATGTGTCGTCAATTTAAGAAACCCAAGGAATCTAAACCGCCTCTCACGACGAAATCACAGCATGTCAATCGACCCAGAGTTGTCTGTTTGACACGACAATTGTATCACTCACAGTTTCATCAGACTCCATTCAACATTCAACTGAAATACCACCATTGCATTTACCTGCCCTGACCTAAAGGCCTTGCACAGATTAACCTTTGCGTTTCGGAAGGAAGAATGGATGACCTTTAGACGTTCTGAGACGACGCCATCTGGCCTGCTTCCATAGGAACTACGTCGGGAATATGGAGAAGTGGATAAATCATACTAGACTTGACAGCGGTAATTGGGTTAACTTGAAAGTGTGAATGTCTTGCAGACGTGTTAATCAGCAAACCAGTCTTAGTTTGATTTGTTGATGTACATGAAGTTATTAAGTAATTGTGTATCTTATACTGTTGGGAATTATGTAGCACAATACTTCCAATGATGAAGCTTCATTAATGAGCTTCGAGTTATATGCGAATCTAAACCCACTTCTCTGTACCTAACCTTACTGATTTAAATTCACATATTACATATATTAATTTAGCCTTTTACCTAGACATGACAGGTTGGTATACGAAAAAAATAGGGATTTTGCAGCAGGACAGTATGTTAGCAATTCTATTGAAAAGATAGTTGTTTATCATTAAATAAGCTACAACCTTAGCACGTAATAGGAATGTCAACAAACGTATAAAATTGAATCGTCTACTTCTCAGCAGGGTAATAAATTTGTCTACCACTTCGTAAGGAGTTATTTTATTTCGTCATTATAGCAATGAGTTAAATGACGTTGTATTTAATTCAATGTATAATTTACAAAGTGCGTTGGTGTAGGGTGGGTGTGGTGTACCCTTGGCATGCCTTCTTGTCCACAGGCAGTAGGAGTAAGTAAACTATGAGAAATTACCTATCAGATCTGCGACTGTCGAGGAATAAATGAGGGCAGATATATAAATCTGGACCTTGAACTTTGTCAGGGTCACACAGATGTTAGGCTACCCAAGCATCCGGGAGCAAAAATATCTGACAAACTTATGTGGGAGTCATCCAAAGTGTAATAGCTTTTGTTAGTACATAAATAATACTAACACTTGACTAATGGTCTCTAAATTTCGACTGAAATCGACCTGAATCGTCTTGGTTTTTTTTTACTTACATGCATAAATGCATCAACTATACTCTTGTACTCTTGGCAATAATATCGGAGTGCCCCTGAACACTAGGTAAAATACACAATGTTCAGGAGCACATATTGCCAAGGTAAGTAAGTTGAATTGTAAAAACTCTTTCGAACTAGTATATCTTAGACAATAGCTACAATATGACTGTATATGACACACAGGACAATGTGCACATATGGTATAGTTGATTAGCCATTTCATGGCTAATGGTTTTAGGTACTTACAAATTGATAATGGTTGTATTCCTTTATCAAGGAATATATATTGATGTTCCTCAATAAAGCTCCCCTTTCTAAAAATCCTTAATTGGCTTCATGAGGAATTCAACGGCTTAGAATATTTCTTTTCGTTTAAGACAAGATTGAAACATCAGCTGACAGTTAGTTTTAGCAATCATTTTAAATGTCCGTAAATATTCCAGGTTTTACTGTATATTATGTAATGATTACGGCTTTGTGCAGTTACGGACTGATATACAGCATCAAAGATTTCCAGAGTATTTTAAGATATGCTAATTATTTAAGGATTAGGTATTTTCCTTATGAAAGAGGCGAAAACCAATTCGAATCAGTTTGGAAAGATTTGTGATTGTAAATTCATAACATCTGTAATCCATGAACATAGTCTTCCTCGTAACTGTGTGAATTGAAAACGAAATGTGATTTTTTAAACCTTTCTATGTATACAACATACAACCGTGTGTCAACATAAAACCAATCTATAATCAATAGGTGAGACAGGTATGAGTAATTCAGGTTATCTCTCAGAGATAACCCAGTAATCCACTTGTATGGTGTAGTGTAATGGCTAATGTTCACAACAATTAAGGTTAACGTTTATCTTATCTGTGTAATATTTACCCCCTCATCCTGTACATCGCGATTGGTAGATAATGGTAGCAAGTAGTTGAATTACTGTGTTATGGTTCACCATTTAAAGTTTTCTGGCAATACCAGACTGGTCTTGTTTAGTTTTCAAGAAATTTATTTAATTACTACTAAATACCGATGATAAATGCTGATGATTCGTTTGTACTCTTGTGTACAATGTTTATGGTAGCAGAATTAATTTAAATGTTGAATCCACGTTTCGAGAATGTTCCCAGACCAATCTAAATCTGAGTTTCCCAACTCTCGGTTTCTCACGGCAGCGACACCCACCTATTAAATATCCATAAGCTACGGAGTGATTATTAAGTTGCGATTATGAACTCCTCACGTGATCAAGGTGACCTCTAATCCGATGGTTGATTGACATGCGTGTGTATGGGGAATGGCTCGGTAACTCTGTGGCTGCAGGAAATTCAAAATAATAATTACCATTAGTTGATTAGGGTTTGATGACTTTCGTAGCTTTACAATACTGTCATGTTTTGATTAAATTGTCGTATGACTTTCTGTGATGGGTTATGGCCAATTAGAAGACATTTCTTCTCTCCTGGAGACAAAAAAGTATAGTGTTTACTTAAATTTGAGAATCTAAAGCTTAATGTGAGCCGTAAACCAGCAAGTCATAGTTAGCGCAGCGGAGAGACAGTTAGAAGGTAGTGATAGTTGGCAAGATTTGTATCCAGGACTTCCAGGACAAAGGTTCTCTGCTGTAACCACCTGACTAGCCTCTTATGTTGGTACTATAAGCATTGATATACCATAATGGTTCATGGTATACATACAGTCAATGATATTAGTTTCAGTCTCGATACATTTTGTATCATTTAGAACATTTTGACACATCTCTTTTGTTTTTCTGGAATCCATAACAAAGGTGACACTTTGTATTTAATGATTACTTCAAAGCTACCTAAAACCCAATTCACTTTAATTTGCGTGAAGTTAAAAACTGTTCCAAAATGATAGTTACGAAGTATACAGCGTTTTTTTGAGATCAGCAGCCTCTTTCAAGTTTACATGTATTTGTTTATATATGGTTTCAAGATTTTGTGTGGATTGAATCAGACAAAAGACGGACCTGATATAGGAGAATTGTTTCCTTAAAACTTAGTAATTAAATTTGAGTATGGTTCGTTGTTCCATAATGATGAAGACGTCACGTCTTGCTAACCAATACGCAGGTACTTACCTGGTCGAATTAAACTTTCGTCACTGCAAAATAACTGTAAAGAAATTTCTCTAACACAACCTAGGAGATTTTTCACCTTAACTTAGATTTTGTGAAAACTGCGTGCACACATCTGAAATAATAGCGGTAACCTTTCCTGGCCCAATAGCGTCACCCTCTCTACCCTAACCCACTCACTAACCTCCACAACTCCCTGTACGAGTGTCGGATCCATGACACCATGTGGGAGGTCCTCCACTAAAGATAACACTTACCACCATAACCGCTTCCTCCTCGAACATGCTTTGTTCTCTCCCGGCACACAGGGTCTGATGTACCCTGTCGGAGACAATGAGGTTTGATTTCATCTCTGAGCTCCAGTTGAGACTCTCCAGTCTGAGGGAGGTAATTCATCTTGAGAATCTCCGGTGAGAGGCTGGAGTAGTCTCAGTAGCATTGAAGCAGTACCTCAACATAATCAGGCTAGCTGCTATATGGGACAGCAACTATCAAAATTTTAATCGTTTGTTGAAGTCATTTAAGACGGCAGATTTAGGCAAATTATAGTCTAACACACTGCTTACTAAAGCTATTTTTTAGCCAATTGTAATATTTAATACCTTTCAGTGAAATGGCCACCATACAAAGTAGGTATTTTAAGCCAAGTATGGAGATGAGTGTACAGTATGTGTGTGTTTATGTGGTCACCCAGAGTTGCGCGATCTTCAAAGGTTCACAAAGTAAGAGTGTAAAACCTCGCCTTTGGCCATTGGGAGATTAGGTGGTGGTGAATTATTAGCATTAGACTTTTTGGTTACCCCAGGCCTCTTTGCCGGTAGTTCTTATTAGTAGATTTGAATTTTGAACTTCTTTAATTTAGATTTTGGATTTTACACATATTTCAAAAATTTTCTCTTCTTGTAGGCCAAGACCGAGATAGAGCGACTGACGGACAAGTACTTCGGACCCTTGTACTCCAACTACCCTCGCACTCGCCCCGTGCTGGTCAGACAGGCCAGGGATCTGCTGGTGTGCAGCTACCATGGCAACACCGCCAGGTTTGAGGCGGAGTTTTGTCAACCTGCAGCGGCGTTGATGCAGGAGGTCATCCAGAGGTCGTTCATTGAGGTAAGACATTGTGTTTCTATACATTTAGAATATTTAGGTGTCTCCTCTCCACATGCAGGAGGTTAAGTCAGTCTGATGCAGGAGTTATCGACGACGATGTATCAAAGTATCATTTCATTATTTTTGTCTATGGTATTATTAATTTGACAACTATATCCAGAAAAATACTTTTTGCTGCATCATTAGAGTAAGATTTTTCAGCGCCTTAGATATCAGATACTATTTTGTTTTGCCACCATTATCTCTTTGAAAATTATTAGCCCGATCGACGACAGAATAAGTTTTTACTATTGATTGTAAATTACTGTATCTTATTCCTGGTTATTGAGTAATTGATTGAGTAGGATACTAAGTAATCCGTTCTTTTAGTAGGCAGGAAGATCTTCAGTAGACTGTTATTGAAATAAAGTCTAATTCGATATCTTATAGCAGTACAATACCATCCCTCAAAACTTTAGGGATTACAATCATGTCCTCTACGGCTATAGGTTTTGCTTGAACTGATCTAGTTTTATAAGTTTCTTTGATGTTCTTGTGTATCTTGATGTAGTATGTTCCCTACGATCGTTGTATTTTCACTTGATCAGCACGGGAGGTCATTCAAGGTCGTTACTTGAGATTTAGCCTATTAATTTCCAGCCAGGACTATAACTATATCCTGCAAGAATAATTCTCCTACACCAAAAGTAAATAATACAACATTTTGCCAAATTAATGTTAGTTAATCAACATTTCACCAAACCCATCTTTAGATTTTCCATCTAGTTACAAATCTTCCATCTCCAGAACACCAACGTCCACTCGACCCGAAGCTCCAACTCGAATTTATAGGGAGGTGAACGAACGACATTTCACAGTATCAAAGGAGACCCGACAATAGGATTGTAGGATTGTTGGACCGACAGGCGTACATACGACAAACAAATGGGACGGGAGGTATAAACAAGTCAAAAGACTAAATACCAAACCGGTACAGCGCCGAGTGGGGGTGGGGGTGGCCCAAACAAGCAATGTAGCGACGACACGACCGTAAATATGGTAAACCATACAGAAACATGTGTTCCTACCCAGGTGAACCATTCATTGTGGACCTGTGCGATCATAGATTTGAATGATGGTCGCTGAAGTTTGAATTGTTTGTTTGGTGAAATGTAGGAATGTTCGCCGTTATGGATTTTTGTTGAATTTCTTGTTTAGAAAATCTTATGCTTTTCATGCACAGTAATAACTGTGAGATTTCTCACTTGTTATATGGTCCGGACGATAAGATTGTAAATGCTGGACCAATTTACAACTAGATGTAAAACACATTAATTTTTTAACTGAAAAAAGGCACACAAGCTAATATTGTATTTATAATAAAAATAGCAAATTCAGTACAAGTTACTTTAGTTAACATTATTAACTAATGAACGTAATCTCAATTGCATTTATGTGCAGACTCTGGTCAAGTTTGATAATTAATTAGTAAAATAATAAACTGTACTTAATATATCCGTTCAATTACTATTGTATAACTCGTTTTACAGCGTTTTTAATTAATCATACGCTGTAAAATACAATTGTTCACCATCTATTATTTTCCAAACACCAATATTATTTTCTAAATAACTGTTTAATATAACACTTTTTTTCAAAATTTTATTTTAAAGTTTAAAACACGTTCATATAAAAAAACATACATACAGTTCTCCCGGGCATTGGCCAGGAGTACCTACTAACTATAGGAAAATTCACTAAAAGAAACATGTACTGTATTTATATTTGTATCACAAGTTATAGTTATCACTTATAGTTATGTAATGAAGCGAGTAATTTATATCATATTACTTATTACACTTTCACTTCTTTGATGCGATTTTATAACCGGAAACATGTACGACCAATATATACTCGATGATATATGGACTCTTACAAATTTAATATCTTAACAATACTTTCTAGTTGATTGTTTCTCGCTCCAATACAGTCTCAACAATAATTAGATTATTGTATCACAAAGTAAAATTTGGTTCGTAGCCCAAACCTATTATCGGGTTTAATTAAAGTCGGCACAGAAATTAAACGAACATTGTGTGTGAACTGGGAATCAAATTAAAAATCTAGTTTCGATTTCATTCCAAATGATATTTAGTTCCGGTACCCCACAGGGACTTCTGTGTAAACGTTGTTCTAGTTTGTATTAATTATGGCAATTGTACAATTTCTTTTTGACGAACTCATTATGTTGATCATTGTATAATCATACTCCCTTGTGTTGGTTAGTCTATGGTTGATAAAACCAATGGCAATTTGTATAACACATGTTACATTTAGGGTTGTTTGTATAATTAATTATCGATAAATATGCTGAAAACAACGTCAAAATAATAATATTACGTTTATAAAAATTTAACATGTATGATTAGACTGATTAGATGTGATGTATGTTTTGACGTTGGTTTAGGAGAGTACAAACTTTTATCGTACACAATTACAATTATTTTACTATGGTAAAAGTAATTTGGACACACCTTAAGTGACCAAATAACATAACATTCGAAATAGAGGTAAATATAGCAAAACTGGGTGATGATTTGCAATATATTTGTATCATGGAGATGCATTTAATAGATGGTGATTTTAATTCAAATTGATATTTTACACCCTTACGTTTTAATGCCAGTAGTAATGATATAATAAATTAGTTTACATTAACGTAAATATTGGTTTTCAAGATTGCATATTTATCACAAAATTAAATTACTCATCTTTATTATTTTCAATCTCATGTCTGCTGTTTTGCTTGTGGCAGATTTTGGTTTGCGTAAGAAAACCTTGTGGCCTCTTGGTTTTATTTATCAACTAATTAACTGATAACTCACATTTTCAGTGACAAAGATAAAGATAAGCCTCAAAAAGTACGTTTTAACACGAATGGGAGTCCTGTTTCACAACCACTCCAACCGCTCTCCCACTTGTCTATACATTGTTTGACAGACAATTCGTCATCGCCGCAGGACAGCTCGTATTACTCTATGTTTAATTCATCTCGAACCCCGACCAGGGCCAACCCGCCCCGGCGTGGCCGTCCCTCGGACATTATGGCAGATAAGTTCTCCGACGGATGAAGAAACTTCCTCCTCGCCGCTGCACAACAGCTCCCACTCCTGATTTACGCATCCTCTTGTCAAAACTGCAGCGCTCTCCTCTGGTAAATCTCCCACATTTCCATACGATGTGCTGCCACTAAACGGTCTTGTTAGCTTCGTCTAAAATAAGTTTAAAGACCTGCATAGATAAATTTTCTGTTTTGCACATTACGTTTGCAAAAAAACGTGGTTGCATAATTGTATACTATTTTTGTATATAGCTGTTGTAGCTAGGGGTTTGTTAGAAATGAAAACAGTTTAATTAACCTTTATTAGAGTTTGATATACTTATAAATCTATTTCTTTTTAGGTGTATCATGATAATTATAGTAGTTGAAGAGTTTTATTTAGGCTACTTATGTTAAAGAAGTATGTTCTAATTTAGTATACCTACCGGTATTAAAAAAAGTTAAGTTGGTATCCCTACTTCAAAGGAATAAAATATACATGCTACGTAGGTAGCTGAGAAAAGCAAGCAGGTTTTATCTAGTTTCATGGGGAATGGATCTCACAATCTGGAAGTCGATTTCCGCATGCCTTCTCATTTCCTTCCGACGTGTTTTAAGTAAATTTTCTATTTTAAACATTGAAATGGCGTGATGTACCATAAACAATTAAAATAACAAACATTTGGCTAAAAACACTTAAAAGTATAGGTTACAGTTACGGACTGAAAAATTGTAAAACTTCCAAACCAAATATCTGGTCAGAGGGTTAGTGACACGCTACATAGTTCTTAATTTGAATTGTCTATCTCTAAAAAACAAGCCAATAACAATCACCTACGACCTCACGCTCACTAGATCACACACATTAATCCTACCCGATCGCCATTATCTCATTTCCTTATTGGTTTCCAACTCTTTTATTTGTGGAAATAATTACGTTGCGTCGGAACACAATCATTTCAGGAAACGTTGATTATTCTGTCATCGCCGAATGGGTTTGGGTGGGGCCGGCCCCCGTGCAGTAATATACGGGGGCTGGCTATCACCTATCACGGAGTAACGGAAACCACCGACTCACGGTTTGGTAAAATGAGGTGGAATTGTGTATCGGTAATGTAGAAAATGTTAATTTACTTTTCCTTTTAGGGTGGTATCACACGGTGTAGTTGCATTGTGCAATGTGTGTTGGAAATAGAATTAGATTCAGGTTCAATTGGAACGTTAAATTGAGTTTTAGCAGTATCTCAGAAGTTGGTAAATGGGTGCTCTTGTTATTACTTGATTTGTGTCACTAAACTATCGACTTAATTTTTTATAAACTCTCTGATTAACTATTGTATTAAGAGAGCACAAAGAGAGCATTATTGACGTATCCCAATCATGCTTTACTTATCAATAAAAGTGGCTTATTTAACATTCATTTTCATAAACTTTCCTACACTGGATCTTTGAAAGCACTCTCCAAAAATAAAAAAATATAAGGGGCGAATGCCCAAAACATGATTGTCTTTTAGTTGCCATTGATCACTCTGCTGGAATATAAGCTTACAAATGACATATCAATCGTATGGATCGATTAATTATGACGGATGAAAAAGGGATATTACAGAGAAAACCTTCATTATGGTGCGTTTTAGCTTTTCAGGCAAGATCAACACGTTTGTAACGAATATGAAAAATATGTATAATTAATTATTATAGTCATTGTTTATTTTGTGTGTGTTACCTTTGGCATTTTTAACGCTTTTTCAAGGAAATTCGTTAGTCCTATGAGTACTTATAAATGCCAATATGAATCAGTATTAATCAATGAGCCGTATTAATAAAGAAGAGGTAAACCTTTTACTTGCGAAAATTCGAGGAAATCCTTCTATCTGTATTAATAAAAACTCAAGCAAATTACTTTACAAGGAAAAGGTAA